GGGAGGTCTTGCTTAGGGACAGTGGTGCTGGCTGGAAGGGCAGAAGGAGCAGGCTGGGGAGCCGAAAGGGGACCAAGACTGGCTGGAGGCTCTGGCAGAGTTTGTGCTGCTTATAGGAGGTCACAGTGTCTGCTGGTGGCCCAGTGTGATGTGACTTCAAGTCCGTGGTCCACCTTGGCTCTAGCAGCATCTATGCTGACACTGACTCAAAAACCCTTTGTGAAAACCTAAGCAATGGCCAGGCTGTCTTCTCTCTCCTGTCTTTCTTGAGAACCTAATACCATCCTGGAAATGTTAGAGTAGAAATAGTGAAAACAATGCTATTTTAAACCACCTGATTTTGCCCATATTGTGGGTTAGCCTGGTGGCCTCATTTCCAGGAAAGGTGCATTATATAGGCACCAGGTCACTTAGAGATGCTGGTCACACACAGATCTGCTCTCCCTCCCTTTGCTCTCACCTCGCATCCCCTTCTGGGAGATGACCGCAGCCTGAGGGGGCTGAGGGGCCCCTGTGAGGGATGGGGAGCTTCTCTTGATCATGTTGCCAGCCTCCAACGCTGAGTCACATACTCACTTGATTCATAAGATACATTTAAGGAGCAACAAATGACAGGCCCAAAGGATAGAAGAAGAAACCGAGGCCCATTGTGAATGTTGGAGCCAGGAAATGACTAGAAGACCAGTGGTGTTACCCATGGATGCACTAGGAAAGGAGAAGTGTGATAACCATGAGTGTCTGAGGGGGATGTCTTACCTAGGGACAGTGGCACTGGCTGGAAGGGCAGCAAGAGCAGACTGGGGAGCCGAAAGGGGACCAAGCCTGGCTGGAGGCTCTGGCAGTTTGTGCTGCTGTTACCTGAAAAGGTAACTTCCTTTGCACCAGCAGCCCATGGTGAGAATGGCCCTAGGTGGGAGGGGCCACAGGGATCCTGCTCGTGCCCCTCCTGCACCTTGGAGAAGCCCAGGGACGGTCCCGTAGCCAGGTGACCCATCCTTATTTCACTCTCCCCCATGACACCATCGTTAGGTAAAATCTCCCCTGAATTATGAATGAGCAAAAGGCAATTATGCATATTCTTGTGGGTATGTTTAAGACAGAGAGAGGAAGAGATTCCTCCACATGGTACAAGTACTTGCACTTCGGAAGAGGCTGGGATTGCTTTTGAAACCTGACTCACAGCCATTCTATTTCGGTTAACTATGAGTTCAGCTTTAGAAACAAGATGTAATTATACATTCATTCACCACGGAGTTTTGCTTTGTGCGACACTGTAGCCCTCGGAGCAATGTGACTAAGTACAGGGGTCCCAGCTGGAGAGCACTGCTGCCTCTCCAGGCAAGTGGCAAGTGCTTCGCCCACTGTGTCCAGCAGGCGCAGAAGTGCTCACTGGGCTGCAGCTCGCCATCACGCCGCACATCTGGCTGTGTCAGTCTGGCCCCATCTGTCTTCCTGACACTTCTGCAGCAGCTGAGGGAGGGGTGTTTGTTTTCTTTGTGAGTCCAGACCACTGTAACAAGCTTGCCAACCTGCTGCGGAAAGTTCCATTTTCTTCCCCTTCTAGTGTGAGTTTGTGTGCTTTGGATCAAGAGCAAGTCCCAGTGTGTGAGCTGGGCTTCCTGCTGCTCTCTGTCTCACATGACGAACGGGCCTGCTCAGAAACACTCCTGAGCCCACCAGTGGCTGCTGTTGTTCTGTCCTGAAGAGATGAAAAATGCCCACAACAAGCCCCAGCTTGTAGCCCAGAGCACACGCCTGACTCTGCTCTCTGTTCTCTAGGCCATCACCCAAAGGCTTCCTCCTTAGAGACAAATCGGCCCTCTGCCTGCCTTGATGGCTTTCGCTGATGAGAAAGCATTCTCCTGACCTCGCTCGGAGGGCTCTAGGATCGTGCAAATAACCCTATTAATGCACTGCTTTTTCCCCTTCCTGGCAAATAGGAAAATTAGATTTGACCTCTGTGCACTCTACACTCACTCTAAAGTCATTCTTGGACTGAAGACTTTCTGCCTTTGTAGTCGGAGCATCTATTACCACCCTGATTAAGGTCCATGCCCTGGTGGGCGGACCCCAAGGACAAATGTGATTTCCATGATTCCTCATCCCCATTTTGGGGACAGATGTCTTTAAATGGAGTGAAATCATCTTTAATAAGCATGCATCAGGATTCAGACAGCTCTGGGGAGGGGGCATTAACAGTTTCCCAGCAAAATGCCCTGTGCCAAATCACCTTATATGGTCCCTCAAGGTCCAATAAGGAAAAAGCAATGAAAATCACAGAGTAAATTCAATTCCCAACCAAACCATTACATATTTAGGGCAAACTGGAAAATGCAATGCTGTATTTTTCTTGGCACTAAGGAAGCGCTAGTGCTTCTCAAATAATACATTAAAAAGAGGAATGATTATGCAAGCTGACAATATGCCCATTAGCAGGTGACTGGATAAAGAAAATATGTTGTATATATACACAATGGAGTACTACTCAGCCATAAAGAAGGATAAATTTGAGTCATTTGAAGGGAAATGAATGGGTCTTGGTATCGTAGGATTAAGTTAAATAAGTCAGACACAGAAAGTTAAAAATTTCACAGTTTCTCTTATATAAGAAACCCAAAATATATGCAATTTAAAAAGGAAAATGAAACAGGGAAGCAGATTTATGTGGATGGGAAGGGGGTCTGGGGAAGAAGGAAGAGGAGAGAGTAGGAGGGGAACTTAATACAATTAAACTATGCTCATACACCAGCTCCCTGAGACCAGGGGAAATTTTAGGCATTGCAAACATATCCCAGTAAATGAATATAGGAAAGTAAAAACAAAGAGGAACAGAAGGAGACAGCGGGAAAACCACTGTGCCCTGAGGCTGAAGAATAAACAAGTGGAGGTTTCTCAACTTCTAATTTAGAATTATTTGTAGGGAAGCTGCTTGCTTTTCAGAGCCTTGGCCTTTACCTACCCTTAAAATAGAATTAAAGATTACCCATACAAGGCTTCTGCGTAAATTACCCAAACTGTTTCTGCAAGTCTGTTGATTCATTTCACACCTATTGATGTCACACTTCAAAGATATTTACTCTACTTCAAGCCACAGCAGCACTGTGTAACGTCTGACCTCTGTAACGAGAAGATCACGTTTTACTTTTCACCAAGCACTTCACCCAAGCCCTGGTACAGAAAGGTGCTTAGTAAGTTGTGGGAGAACAGGGAGAATCCTCGGGAAATTAAATTCGAGCTGTGAGGTCGAGAAAAGCCCACAAACAGTTGCTCTACGGAGTGGAGCGTAGAGAGCCTCACAGGAGAAGAACAATAATGGTTTGGGATAAAAGTGGAGAGGCAGGCAACATTCAGACAGCAAGAGAGACAGCAACATTGCTCATGCAGACGGCAGTGTCCCTGGTCTGTACAGTCAGTGGGACTTTCGTGGGAGGCAGGAGAGGTACATGTCTCCTGGCAGAAGCCAAGGGGCCAGCTAAGGGTGAAGAAGAGGGTGGGGAGATGCTGGCCATGGTGAGCAGGCTCAACCAGGTTACACGGGGCAGCACTGCAGGAGGCGGGGAGCCTCCTTCCCTCTGTGTGACACCTGACCTAGGTCAGCCCAAGGGCCTGGCGCATCCTCCCCATTGCAGTCTTCACACCTGCCCCTCAAGTTGGAGATCACTGCCACCTACACCCAATGTGGCATGCTCAGGTTGTCAGCAGGGAGCAGCTCCAGGATCTGTCTCAAGGTCTCTGCCTTTGAAACTCATCTCCCCCTCTGACTAGGAAAGAAAGGTACTACTGAACCCAAAGGCAACACTGATCATGAGGTATGGTACCTAGGCCAGGGGAACCCCGTTGGAGAGTCTGAGAGATGTGCCTGGGAGACCTGGGTCCCAAGGACAGCAAGGGCTGGTGGCAATTGCTTGCTGTGGATGAAGAGAAGAGCTGGGCCAAGAAGACCTATCAGAATCTGTCACTGGTGTTGGTGAGAATTTCAGAGCCAAAATTTAACAGAGATACAAGGGAGGTAATACACACCTAGGGCATCTTCCCCAATGCTGCTGAAGAATTAAATGTGGAGAGCAAAGAACAGGGAGGAGTAGAGGCAGTGGGGGATAGGAAGAAAAGCTGGCTCTCGGGACAGAGGATGAGCTGGATTGGGATGTACACAAGAAGAGGCGAGCGCTGGCTGCTTCCAGGAAACTACTTCCTTACTCTTTCACTTCTCTGTCCTAAACACATTCATCAGCTTCAAGGAAAGTGTCACGCATGCAGCCATTTGCCCAGGAGCAGCTCTGGGCCAGGCACAGGGGTAGCCCCAGGCGGTCCAGGAACTCTCAGGGCAGTGGGGAAGAGCAAGTGCTCTGAAGGCCTCCGTGTGTGCCTGGGCAGTGCATGTGGTGGCGACACACTGTCCTTCCACGTGTTCAGACAGGCATGAAACCCTCCTAGTCAGGCACTCTATGGTGGATGTAGGCAATAAGCCATTCTGCAGAGGCTGAGAGTGAGACCAAAATGCACTGGGCCTTCAGCATCTCGGAATGAAGCCAGGTGAGCAGAAAGGCCCTGACATCACATAAGCCCCCAGCTCCCTGCAGAGCCCTACTCGGATGCTCATTTGGCTTACTTGCCTTGGTCACCAAGTACCAAGAGGCCCAGCCAGTGCCCACTGAGAGAGAACCAAAGGAAGGCAGTTTTGAAAACTCTAACTTGAATCAGAACTTCAGCCCATTGAACGGAAGACCTTTTCAGGTGCTTCCTTCCTTGGGAGAGCAGAAGGCCCTTGCACAGAGATCCCTCCTGCTCCCTGCTCCCTGCTCCCTGCTCCTCATGGGGCAGCCAGTCACAGCCTTCCCAGTCACCGGAGGTCACTGGCCCCAACTTGGACTCCAAGGCACCAAGCCGCTTCCCTGCTCCTGTCCTCCCCAGCCAGAAGTGGCAGGCAGCACAAGGTGGGTGCTGAGGCCACAGGCCCAGGAACTCACCTGCTCCTCCATCTCTTTGCTTGCCCCATCTAGCCTCGAGCCTCCCTGCAGATGGCCAGGACAGCAGGCTGCTGAGAACCAGAAACCCTTCCACTTGGACCGTGGAAGACGTGGTCCGGTTCGTGAAGGACGCTGACCCGCAGGCTCTGGGACCACATGTGGAGCTCTTCAGAAAGCATGTGAGCTTGGGGCCTGGCCAGCTGGAGAGGGGGGTAAGAGGGGCTTCAGGATCCCCAGCTGTGGGGGTTGGGACAGAGCCCTGGGGCACCCTTGAGGGAGACCAAGATGAGGATGACAGATGCAACCACAGGCTTCACAGAGCAGAACACCCACTTGATTTTGTTCGCGAGGAATATTGGTCCCATCTGTTCTCATTTTGGCCTTCATCAGGAGCGCCTGCTTTCCTGTGCATCTATCCATCCATCTGTGCCTCCAATAGTCATTTATAGCACACCTACAATATGCCAGGCAAATGGGGAGAGTGCCCATTCCTCAGCTGCTTCAAGGTTTAAACGAGCAAACGCACATAAAGCATTCAACTTGGTGCCTCGCTTGTAGATAGCCTTCCATTAGCAGGTATTGTTTTAATTACTTATACCAAAGATGGTAAATGAAAACACAAAGGTGAGAATTAATATTTTACCTATGAAGCTTACTCTATTAGTTCCATATTGCTGCTATAATAAGCTACCACAACATCATGGCTTAAAACAATATGAATTTCTTCTCTTACGCTTTGTATGTCAGGAGCCTTACTGGGGTGTCCCTGAACTATGAGCCAGGTGCAGCAGGACTGCATTCCTTCCTGGATATTCTAGGGAGAATCTGCTTCCCTACCTTTACCAGCTCCAAGCCCGTGGTCATTCCTTTGTACTTCCCCTGCCTTCAGCCTTAAAGCCAGTGATATCAAGCACAATCCTTCACAGCGCCTCGCTTTCTGTGGTCCTGTCTTCTGACTTCCTTTACCTTTAAGGGCCCTTCAGCCGTCCCCATAATCTGCATGTAATTTCCCTACTTCAGAGTCAGCTAATTGGCAGCCTGAATCCTACCTACAGCCTTACTTCCCCTTTACCTAACATAATCACACAGAGTTCAGAGATTATGATGTAGATGTCTTAGAGGAAGGGGAAGGAACATTATTCTGCCTGTCACTGTAGCCACCTCCCCACTCCCCATTTTACTTGGTAATGCTGTCATAGAAATCATACTGTCAGATCCAGGGAGGACCTTCTAATTCAACCCTTGCATTTTATTAGGCATGGTTTTAACATTGCCTGACAGTTGGGGGCTGTGTTTAGACAGATCGGCCGGGTAGGAAATGCCAGGAGATGGTAGGAGATGGTGGGGGTCTAGGAGGTAGGGTAAAGAAGGAGCATCAGGAAGAGATCTTGAGAGGGACCCACAGATGAGGCCCCTCCTCTTGTCATTTTATCAAGAATGTGGAAAGTAAATGATATTGAGTAAGTGTTCCATCAGTAGTGGATGGATGTGTGGATGGATGGATGGATGGATGGATGGATGGATGGATGGATGGATGGATGGATGGGTGGATAGACGGATGGATGGACCAATGAATGGATGGACAGATGGATGGATGAACAGATGAACTGATAGATGGACATGGTTGGTGAACCTTGCTCAGTGAGATGAGTCCCTTGTCTCTTCTCCCAACCTGAAAACACCATTTTGTGAGTGAGGAAAGCAACCTGGCTAGGTTCATGAGTCCCACATGCATTCTGGAGGGTTAGGTTAATATTTTTAGAGACAAAGGGAGCAACACCAGGACCTCAAAGGATTGACTCCTTCCTTTAGTATTTCTTTGTACTAAACCCTGAGATGAAACAGGTGCAGCGTGTATACTGCCTAATGTTGTTGACAGTGAGAAACAGAGTGTGATTTGCAGCTCTGCAACTGGCTAAAGATAAGAGAGCCTCCAAGAAAATAAAGAAGAGGTCAGGGTGATGGGTGGAAGTCAGAGCCTAATGCCAACTTCTTGGAGGAGATGGAAAGGCAAGCTCTAGTTTTCAGGGTCTAGTAGATTTCACTTTTCACTCCTTTGGTCCTTGTTTGGGTAACAAATATTATACATGAGATACTTGGAACAGAGGTGGGGTTATGTTTGATTTCTTCTATCAGGAATATGAATGATCCAGTGTATCCTATGACTCCAGAGAGCTGATGGGAAGAGAGACATACAGTATTTGTTTGCTTTAACTTTTTTAAAAAGGAGATCTTGCCCTAAGAACAAAAATTATGCTCTCTTAATAAATTCACTTGCCATGAGCACTATTAGCCTTAGCTACCTTTTGATTGCTCTAACCATTTTCTGAGTTTCTAATCCTGTCTCACCAGGAGATCGATGGGAATGCTCTTTTGCTGCTGAAGAGTGATATGGTCATGAAGTACCTAGGCCTGAAGCTGGGACCTGCGCTGAAGCTCTGCTACCACATCGACAAACTGAAGCAGGCCAAGTTCTAAGATCAACTGACAGAAGCAAAATCCAAGACAACAGAGCTCAAGATTTCTGTCTGCCTTGCCCACACCCAGCTACCGTCATGAAGTAGTCTCTTCTGAAAATGAACACTCACAAAGACTTGGCCTTTGTATAAAACATGTGTATCTTTGCCTTTTTATTCAATGTGGTTCTTTTTGAAAGGCTCTCATGTTTTACTGACCTGCCAAAAAAAAAAATTACCAAAAAATCTGTTACTGTTAACCTTCTTGATTTTTTTGTTGGTTGTTCATAGAATGGGTGCTGTTTGTGTAATGAGGTAGTGGGGGAAGGAGAGTTGTTGCTTAAGGTGAGCCATTGAAGGTTCAAGGGCCCTGAGGAAGATTTTGTCACCTGTGGACGGTACAGAGCTATTAGCCCTCACAGCACCCCTGCCTCAACTCAGACCTGAAGACCTACCAGTACGAGCCTTGCTCGATTCAGCTTGGAAGCTGACCTCTGAGGATGACTGCCTCACCTTCACTATGTGGAAAACTTGAATTTTTATTTTTTGCCTCTGAAAAATAAAAAAAGGAGGGGGGGGGGTTCTTTCCCTAGTTACCTGAAGTACTGTGTTGCACCACTAGAGGGCAGATTGCCTATGAAATGTCTCGACCTCCGCGCAGTCACCTGCTTCTTCAGAACTCGGCTGGGCTAGGGTTTCTAGGAACTGGAACTCCGTCCAGCTTACACGGAAATAGGGAATTTTCTCCACAGTCAGCATCGCACATTGCAACTCCGGAAGAGAACACCATCTAGAGGGGCCTCACTCCCGGCCACTTGATCCTGATGGACGCATGAGCAGTAAAGGCAAGGGCAGGGAAGCATGCGCTGCCTAGAGGGGGCTTCATGGTCCCTTCCTTTCCAGATTCACTGCAGCAGCTTCAAGGTGAAGAATTTTCATGACATTTCGCCACGGGAGTTTCTTGAAAAAAGAAAAATGTCTCAACTAAGCTTTGAAATAGGAGAGTTCTGATTTCTAATTACATTGCCGGATTCTGTAGTTGTATCTGTGGCTAATTTTCCTCGTCCTCAACAAATACACAGACATGCTATTATTGGGTTTAATTCAATTTACAAATAGGTTTCCTTCCTCACCATGGAGTAATAGAAAAAAATTGATTTTTTACCCTTTCGCAGCTGTGTCCAGAGAAGTGTAATGAATCCACAATTGACTAGGCCAGAGGATGGCTTCCTCTCTGCTAGTCTTTGTATCCTTCTCTTCCTTCCTTTCTCTTCCTTGCTTTCTCTTTCTTTCTTTCTTTCTTTCTTTCACTTTACTCCCACTAAGCAGGAAATATCTTCAAAACAAATTCACCTTTGCCATGGGCATATTCCTTTTCTTGAAAGAGTACCTACAGAGTTAGAGATGGGACCTTTCAATTCAAGAGAGGGTGCTGGTCACAGATACCTCAGGATCTCTATGAGCCCAAACATGAAATAGGAAATGCTCAGCTTCCTCTGGGACACAGCCTGAAGGGAGTCTCAGCTGGCAAGTGGAGCTGGATGAGAGCCCAAGTCCCATTGCCCCTGGCCAGCTGCCTCATGCGGCCCAGGAACTGCACGGCCTTGCAGGCAGCCCTGGGTAGACCTGCAGATTAACCCTCTATTAAGTGGCTATAATTTAAACGAAGACCATTAGATACATTTTATGCTAGGCTGTTGGGCCCACTTTAAGAAGCAACACCGAAGAAAATGAACCGCAGCAAAATCTTTTGTGGATACACACATGGTGACTGATCTAGATTGTGACAGAGAAGGGAGAGAAGAGAGTGTCCCAAACTTATAATTGAGCTTGCTCTGGGTGTCACAGAGCACAATGTTTGTTGGCTTCAGCACATGGCAAAACTAACTTGAATCAAGCATTAAGGTAGAATCTTCAAATTTTACAGTGTGAACAGACCCTGTCCCTCAAGGGTTCGTTAAATTATGTGCTCACTGCTGCTCTGAAGTTGGATAATTCCCCCGAGAAGGCCCAGCAGCTTACCTGCTCAGAACAGCCAGCAGTAAGCAGTGTGGTACGCAGCTCCCTCACTGGCTTTGGCTTGGTCCGCGGGTACCTGCGGTGCCACCTCCACAGGCATGCACCACCTTTAATGAATCACAGCATTAAACTTTCAAAATGTCCTATTCCCCTTACCATAGCCTTCCTGGTTACAAACAGGAACAATGGGACCCCAGTGAAATCAGCCCCAGGCAATGTTAGAGAGTTGCCTGGGGTCATTTTCCAGGGAGAGCCTTGTTCCTTATTCAAGTTTAGGAAAAAACTGGCGCTGTGTCCCCTGCAGTTGCTGCCACCCAGGTGCCATCCCATTTGCATGGAGCTCTCAGTAGGCCAGATTGCCGAAGCCTGGTATTTAAGGTTTGACTTTTGAAAAATCTCACTACTTTTAAATTAAATGCTGCTGTAGCAGAGAATAACCTGGAGAGGAAATTCCTCCTGCTTGTTTTTGCACATAAAAGCAATTAGCTGACCAAATTATCATAGCAATACTACAATTATAATTAATTTTCATCCCTCTCAAAAATCTTGTCAAACCAGGCAGTTAATGAGCTTTCAAATGTAAAATACTCCAGGCCATTTCCTCTGAACAGACCTTACAGGGTCAGGCCAAGGGGTCATTCTGGCTCAACCCAGAGCGGCTTGGGGCCTCACACTTGACAGGTACAGTGCTTGTTATTCCATTGTTGTAGCTTGGTTTCAGGTTGTAATGAACAGGGATACCGTTTTGCATAATTTCAAATTAAAGTGTTTGCTCATGTCTTAAACATTTCCAATTACCCTTGTACATTAAACACTTTTTTTAAAAAACCAAGAGATAATTCTATTGTCTGAGGCATTTTAAATATTTTATAAAGCACATTATTTCCTTTGTGAAGACTTTAGGTAAGAGGAGTGTGTGTGCGCGCGTGCACACGTGTGTGTGTGTGTGTGTGTGTGTGTGTGTGTGCACGCGCACTCGCACCTCAAACCACCTGACACTGTAATTGGAAGAGCCTTAGGAAGTGGGTGGGAGGATATCAGCTAAGACCTTTGTTTGGTTTAAAGTGCTGGTTGCCTTTGTCTCTAGGCCCTAGTCCCTGGTCACCCACTGGCTGTGAGCACTAGCAGTCCTCTCTTAGGCCAGGAGGGTGTGCCCCAAAGACAGCTGGGTAACCAGGAGGGTCCTAGGGTTCTGGGCCTGTAATAAACTGAGTATTTCAAGTCCAGGGCTCCAGGTGACAGAAGAGACCTCTTGGAGGAGTGCCAGGCAGAACACAGTTCTGCAGCCCTTATTCAGTGCCCAGCAGAGAGGATACCAGGCCTACCCTCTCCCCTCCACACTGATGCAAGGTTTTTCCTTTCAGCAGGAAAACAGAGTGGAGAATCTTGGGAGACCCACTTGTGATGTTAAATCTCTTAGGAAGGAGTATAGGGCTGGGTATGGTTTCCTGGAAAGAAAAAAAAAGGAAAATAAAATCATAAATTTCTCAAGAAAATGATCAGAGAATAGCTATTCTAACAGTCCTTGTCCTGGATTTGAAGTATATCTTATTTTTCTAATTAAAATTATTTTTTAATTAGCTTCTGAAATTCGCTTTTTAAAGGAGAATTTTGTCAAACCTCTGGGGGAAAATTAGAAATGCCCAGAAGCGAGTGGGACTTAAATTTAGTCAGTGACAAAAATCCCTGGAGAATAAACATATTCTGCTCTCTTCTAAAGATATGGCTGGTGAGATGGCTCAGTGGTCTAAAGCACCTACTTAGAACAAGCTCAGCAAAGCACAGGGACCGTGGTTCAATCCCCCAGCACCACATGCCAGCCAGCCCCGCTCCCTGGTGGGCTGAGCTGGCTACACACACACACACACACACACACACACACATACATAAATAAATAAAATTTTTTAAAAAAGATATGGCTAGATCGTTGCAAGCATAAGCAACAAGCATGTGCTGTCTGATACCCATCTCAGAGGGGCTCCTTTTCAGCTCTTCTCCAGGGGCGCTACATACAGGAGAAAGGAGCGTGATTCACTTTTGTCTAAACCTCGGGTAACAAGACACAGCACTGGGTAGGAGCATATTGTTTTTCAAACTGCCACATTTTGTTAAGGAGGAGAGTGCAAACTTGTGCAGGGCCTGACTTGCTGCTTCTTCCTTTTTTAAATCATAAGCACACTCTAAAAAGACTGAGCACTTGCTGCTCCTCCAATGGCCTTGCCATGTGCTGTGAATGTCCTCACCATCCCTGGCACAAGAGGGCCACACTGAGCGTCCCTGCAAGGAGCCCAGCAGATGGTCAAATGGCCAGAGGCACAGAAGTGCCTGTTTTCATCTTGCAAAATTTAACTGGGCCGCTGTGTCTGGGCACTGTGGTCCTGCCAGGGTGCAGAGGGCTCTGAGCCTTGGTTCCTGGAGTGCAGTTTCCTCCCAGGGCTATCCTGCTTCAAGGCGAACCCTTCATGGACAATTGGAGGCAGGATTTTTGGAAATCTAGTATTTGCTTGAAAGAGGATCACTCTTACTTATTGCCACCAGTTAAAGATTATGGAAACATGTCTGCTAACAATTTGCTTTGTGTAATTTGTTCTAATGCTAATAAGCAACAGCTGGGACACTTCCTGTGGTAAATTCCTTTGTGGTTACAGTGGTATCATCACACATGGTCTTCACCAAAATGCTGTGCTTGAGAAGAACACTCGCTCCTGCTCCCTCAGGCTCCAGGAAATCCCCCTCACCAAGAGAGAGGCAGCATTTTTAGCAAAGAATTCGATTCGCCTTCCTTCACTCCGGTTTCCCAAGCACAGCCCTAGACTGGCATACTTCAAACCTGCATCCAGAGCCTGGGGCTCCAGCCAAGCATAGCATGTAGTTTGATTTTCTTCAGAGGAAAAGATGGCGGGTGGAGCATAAGGTCAAGGCCATCCTGCAGGTCAGGCAACTGTGCTGGACCATGACTTAGTACTGAGAAAGTAAGGTCAAGAGAACAAGAACATACACTGCCTAGAACTGAGACTGGCTCAGCAATCTATTAAATAACAATGCCAGCCAGTTGGGCGAGAGTGACATCTTTGTGTCCAAAGAGTCTCGAGGTAGCACTCAACTTGCTAGCATCCTCCATCCTGCAGCTCTCTCACATCCTGCAGCCTGAACCTTGGAGTCGTTGCAAGGCCAACATATGCATCTTCCCTGGCATCTGACTTGGGGATACACCCCAAACCTTCCTTCTCTAAACAGCTCACTGTGAAATAGGCAACCCTTATTAGGTGTCACTCTTCAATAACTACGTGCCACAAGGGCTGTCTTCATCAGCAGTCTGTACGCTTCAGTCTCACGTAGGCTCTGCCTGACCACTTCCTCTCTGGCTGTTTCCTCTGTTAGGAAGCGGCTTCTTTCTCTGTTGGGCAGCCCTGC